CTCTCTCTCTCCCTCTCTCAAAAATAAATAGACATTAAAAAAAGATAATTTTTAAGAAGGAAGAGAGTGCCACACACAAAGGACTTGGCGGGGTCCTGGCACAGGTGCTCTCAATTCAGAGAAGCTTTGCTAATTATTCCTTTAGGAAGAGAAGGAATGCCCCCTCCTGTTGCTTGAAGCCAGGCAGGGACTGGTTCCGCTTAAAAAGCACCGGATCCACCCTGGGAGGGGCCTGCAGGCTTGCCCCCCAGGCCTTGGAAAAGGTGAGGGTTCTGTGTTGGGGGAGGGGTGTCAGCTCCCGCAGAGGGTCTGGGTGGCGGGACCCTCCCGAAAGTGGGGGGAGGAGGGAGAGGGGCCCCGGTGGGGGAGGGGAGGGAAGGGAAGGGAAAAGGGCCCCAGAAACTCAGGTAAGGTGGTTTCTGACAGGGAGTGGAGAGTGGAGTCAGGGCCCAGACGTGGCAGGCCAGCCCCCTCGGGCTCCTCCCCTTTCCTTTGTTCATTGCCCTCAGCTGGTGAGAAAAGTTCAACTGCCAGCCCCATCCCTGTGCCCAGGGGAACGAGGGCTGTAGGGTCGGAGCCAGTTTGAAAGGGGACCCTTGTCCTCCTAGGCGCCAGGCAGTGGCAGTAGCTCTGTGTGGGGATGAAGGCGGGCCCAGTGAAAAGGAGGGATTGCAAGAAGACACGGTCCAGGTGTCCGGTTCTGCCAATGCCCCTGCTCCCCCCCTGGTGGCCCAGAGCTTGCCATGTACCCCTAGCTCTGGCCTGGGTACCCAGCACAAGGGAGGCCCTACTAGGGCCACCTCCCTTTCAGAATTCCATTTTCCTGACTAGAAGGGTGGGTAGATGACAAATTAAGTTCCTCAGGGTTGACTCTGGGGACAAACAGTGGTGGGTGACAATTTATTTGTCTTAGCAGGTCCTCTCCCTCTTACCTCAAATCCTCCTGCCCACACCACAGGTGTCTGTTCTGGCTGTCAGGTTGCTCTGTGGCCTGGCACCCCTTTCTACCTGGGAGGAGAGTAGCCAATAAGCTAACCACGTCAAGGACTTCATGGGTCCCCCACTCCTCCGGGGCAGGGACTGGTAAATGTCAGCTGGGCTGAATTGGATTCTCCAAAAATGAAGAAATGAAAGAACTGAGAAGGGAAGATGTGTGCAAATGCCCCCCAAATGCAACCCCATCCACCCTTCATCTTCCTACTCCCTTCTCTCTCTACCCTCCCCGTGCACGGTCTCTCTCTCCTGCAATTTGGGAGGCACACAGACCTGGGTTGGATATTGGGCAAGATACTTACTCTCTCTTACTCTCCTGTCTGTACAACAGGATAGCACCTCTGCTATTGGACCGCGGTGAGATTTAAACAAGGTAAGCACAACAGGGGGCCGGCATTCTTGGCCCTCTACCACCCCCAAGCTGCATGCCCTTCAGAGCTGGACTGAATGGTTGCCATAGGTCTGGAGCAGAGGTTCCAGCCAAGGGGAGAGTAGCTGGAGGGGGAGGGGGGGTTGGGTTGGGGGAGGGGGTTCCTGAGGGGCTGCAAGCTCAGAGGAGGCCTGACCGGTTGGCAGGGGAAGTGAACCCACGGGTCAAAGGGGCTCTGCCCAGGAGCGGCTCCAGTCTTCTAGTCTCCAGCGCTGGATGAACACCCTGTCCTGGCTCCTCACTTGTCTCCACAGGGCTCTCAGGGATTGGGTGTTTAACTAGCATTTCAAAGAACATCCATTGAGCCAAGTGCTGGGATGGGTGCTTTTCCTCATTTTGTCTTCATTCATCCTCACAGGACTCTGCATAAGATATTATTCCTAGGATTAGTGGAGCGGGTGGAGACTCAGAGGTGGTCCGGCAGCTGGGGGAGTGGGGCTGGCACTTGATCGGTCTGGATGACTCCAAGCACAGTGCTCTCTGTTCTGCAGCAAGATGCACACCTTGTTTTTGCCTGGCCATCTGCATGCCAGCCCCCTTGGCTAAGTTCTGGGAATGTCAAATGAATGAGACAGACATGGTCTCAAACTCACACAATCACATTCTCAATGGGGGAGACTGATAAGTAACTGGGCAGTTACAACACAGCAAGTAAGTGCTATCAGAGGTGAAGTCCCAGAGTCAAGGGGACCTTGAAGAGGGGCATCTGACCCAGACCAGGAATCAAGTGAAGGCCTCCCGGTGGGTCATGGCAGAGAACCATGGGTGCCCCTAGAATTACCCTCCCCTGATTGCTCTTCTGAAGTCAGAGGATAAGTGCTGTCTGCAGGGGGCCCTTCCCACCTCCCTCTTTTCCTCCCTCCCTCTGGCACCACCTCTCACCACTGCCTCAGGTCCCTGAAGTACAGTGATTCCAGCTGGGGGTATAGGAAATAGGACTAACAAGGAAGGGCCAGCTCTGACCTTGCATCTCTCCCATGGTCATGGGGGGCCCAGCCTCCTATTCTCCATCGCCTGATGGTCCTGGGATCTCTGGACAGCATTGGGGAACACACTGAGGGCTGTCCTCCACTGCTCAGATTGTAGTCCTCCTACATTGCCCACAACTTCCTCTGGACCTAAGTTAGCAAGACCCTGCCCCTCACTCAACCTCTTTGCCCTCTTGGGAATTCTCAACACCAAGAATAACTTCCCCTGGCTCACACCACAATCCCCTTTTTCATCTGGGGCCTCCTCAGTCAAGATGTATTGCTGGAGCACCTGGGTGGCTCGGTCAGTTAAGCGATTGACTTTGGCTCAGGTCACGATCTCACAGTTCGTGGGCTTAAGCCCGGCGTCCGGCTCTGTGTTGGCAGCTAGGAGCCTGGAGCCTGCCTCGGATTCTGTGTCTTCTTCTCGCTCTGCCCCTCCCCTGCTTGCAGTCTGCCTCTCCCACTCTCTCAAAAATAAATAAACATTAAAAAAAAAAAAAAAGTATTCCTGCCTAAGAGGAGGAGGAGCCAATGTCTCATACCCACCTCTTCTTCAGGGAATATTCCGGGTAGCTGTGCTCTAGACACGGGGCCATTCCTAATGGGGCCTGTCCTTTAGTACCATCCCAGAAGCTGAGTTTGTGATCTGCTATGGCCCATGGGAAGCTGCCAAAGGCTCCCTGGTACGTAAATGGCTCACTGGACTGGCCCAAGCAGCTTACACTGGTCTCACTCTCTCTACCTGCAAGCTCCCTCTTCTGACCTGGGAAGACAGGCATTATGGAGAAATTTTGGATACACAGGGGCTCAGAGGGAGAATTACAGATGCTGGCTTTGTATACAAAACAGCTTTATTAAAAATTCAGCAATTTGGAAAACAAAGCCTTTACAAGGGTTCTATCAAAAAGTACAAATTTTAAATAAATGAGTCAGAAAACTGGCAGCCAGATTACACCAGCCACAGTTGCAACCTTGGGAGAAGGCAGGAGGTGCCCAGAGCCCCCCCTCAAAGGCTGGGCACAGGGGTCTTTGGACTTGTGCAGGGACAGGCAAGGGCCCTGACTCAGTTTCCCTTTCCTTGGAAAAAACGGAAAGAACCTGGAAAGTGTAGGAAAGTGAGTGAAGCAGAAAGGCACAAAAGTCATTTAAAAGGCACGGCTGACGGCTGACGACCCCAGCCCTGAGGCGCCTGGAGTGGGTGAATGGGTGATCAAAGCCACAGGGCTCCTGGCTCTGGTCATTTTCCCGATCAGTGTCACCTCTAGGTTTTGGCCACAGGTTAAGGTGGACCAAGTGGACGGCACAATTCCTGCAGCCCGGGGCCTGGAGCCAGTCTTTGGAAGGATCTGTTGTTACTCATTGGCAAGCTGGTGTCTAGCCCTGCCAGGGCAAGCAGGGTTGCATGGCCCCTAAGAAATTCCCTCAGTGCAGAGCACCAGGCCTCTTGTCTAACCCTGTCCTCTGAGCCTCGGTGGGCACCCACCCTGGACAAGGAACTTCTGCAGGCAGTCCTTGCCATCCAGGCATCTGGAGAAGCCTCAAGTCCCCCGAGCTAGGGTTTCTCTGAATGGCAGGGAGCTGGCATCGTCAAAACCAGTCCCCAACATACCCGGAGTCACTGGTGACAGGCCTCCCTGGTGACATTAGGCAGTGGGTAGGCAAAGAGGGAGAAGTCTAGGATATACTTAGGAAGCACATCCTGCAGGAGGGCCCGTGGGGCACTGCACAGGTGGTAGTGCAGGCTCTCAGGGCTGGCTGGCCGGTACCAGGCCTGGCGAGCCGGGAATCGGACATGGGGTGGTGCCCGCACCCACTCCAGCACCTGGTTGGCATCAGCCTCCAGCCTCTCATAGGAGCCTACAAAGTCGTAGTGCACGGCACAAGGCTGGCACAGGTGGTACACGGGCATCCAATGCTCATTCATCCGCTCAGGGTCCTCGTCCACCAGGTATCTTAGGAACTCCGGGAAGGTGACGTCGTCCCCTGCAGGGCTGGGTCCCGCTCCGGCCCTGTACCGCCTCACAATCTCCGCCCCATAGCGCTGCTGGTACTCTCGGATTTCGCCAAACTTGTTGCGGTAGGCAGAGAGAAGGCGTTCCAAGGGGTCCCGCACAAACAGAAACTTGAAGTAGTGTTGTAGGCGGTAGCGAATCTCCTCAGGCCGCAGGTCTGCCAGGAACACCAGGTCATTGCGGTGGTCCATCTTGAGGCGGACATCCACGCTGTCCAGGACGCCTGCCAGCACCTTCAGCACCCGCTTCCAGTTAGAGCAGGCCACCTTGGGGACGTAGCAGTAGAGGAAGCGGTAGCGGTCACTCACGAGGATGTGGCGCAGTAGGGTGCGCCGCTGCCCCACAGGCAAGTCCCAAGGGTCCCGGGGCATGCCTGGCTGTCCGCACACTGCCCGCAAAGTGCGGTTCCGGACGTCCTGCCTCACCTGCAAGTCCGAGTCCCCGGCCTCCAGGGACAGCCCCCCAGGCCTGGGGAGGGCCCGGCGCCAGGCCGCGCCCTCGCGATTGGGAGGGTGCGGGGGAAGGGGCTTCATCTCGGCCAGGATGCCCCGCTCGATCATGAGCAGCAGCCCGCTGGAGGCCACGATCACAGCGAACATCAGCATGGACGGCAGCAGCAGGGGCGGCCCCCCCAGCCCGGCCCGGGCCCTGCCCAGTGGGGCCCGCCTCAGCGCCCGGCCCAGGGATTCGGCGCCATTTGGGGCCGCCAGCGGGGTCAGCGGGCGGGGGAACATGGTGCTCCCGGGGTGGGGGCCTGCGCCGGCCCGGCCGATCCGAGGGCCGCCTGGGAGGCGGGCTCGGGCCGGGGGCGGGAGCCGAGGGCTTGGGCCCGCAGCGCGGGGAGGGCCCCCAGGAGGGGAGCGCCCGCGGGAGGCCCGGGCGCGCGAGAGGGGTGGCCGGCTCCCGGGCTGCGGCGGGGGAGCGGGCGGCGAGCGGCAGGCGGGCGCGGCGAGGGACCGAGGCCGGATGTCCCGCCCGGCAGCTCCCCGCCCCCGGCCCAGCCGTGACACAGGCGCGGGGGCGGGCCCAGGCCGGGGGCGGGGAGAGAGGAGGGCGCCCCAGCATGGAGCGGGCCAGGAGGGCTCGTGCAGACCCCCACCCGGGAGAGGGCGCCGGAGCCAGGGCAGCCCTGGTGCTCCCGGCTTCGGAGACAAAAGCTGCTGACGCCCAAAAGGCAGAAGAGACCCAGGCCAGGGCTCCCTCTCGCGTAGCGCGTGCCCTCGGGGAGCTGCACGGAGAGGACCGGCACCCAATGCCCTGCCGCACACTCTGGCCTGGCTGAGACCTTCCTCCAACAGCGTGTCTGGAGGCAGAGGGCACCCTCAACGCTGTGCGCGAGTCCAAACTTTCGGGAAATCCTTCTTTCCCGCTGGAAGCGGAGTCCCCAGTGTGCTCCTCCTACTCACCCTGCCCTAGCCACTCCAGTAAAGAGAAGCAAGACTGTCAGGCACTGGCCAGTGGCTCATCTCCATGGTGACCATTAGATTTAACAGTACCTGCTGGATTACAGTGTTCATCCGCTGGGTAATGCTGAAATGTCTGGAAATGGAGTCTTCTCCCTGCCTGTCTGCCTTTCCCCAGACCTGAAGAAGTGGGAGGACTGGGACAATCTCTGATGAGGGGCCAGTTTGTGCATGGTGGTCACTAGTGTGACCAGACACATTTTGAAGGGTTAGGAGCTGGAGGCACAGAGCAGCAGCCTCCCTCACTGGAGCCAAACATGCCTCAGTGGCACCGGGCCGACCATGTGGGCTAGAAGCAGATATGGGAATGACTAGGATAGCAGTGGCCAGCCTTTACCCACCAAACTGGGCACCTAGCTCAGGGCCCAGACTTCGTCCTGTTATGGACGTGTGGGGAGCCTGTGAAGCCCCAAAGGGGAGTAGTGATGTGATCAGAATCCACATTTACCAAGGCAGGTGCCTGCTCAGTGTATGGTATGCTCTCTTCCAGTTGTCACAATGGCCCCTGGAGGCAGGGACTACAGGCATTCCCACAGCACAGCTGAGGAAACAGGCTCAGGGGAGCTGAGACTCTATCAATCAGTCTGATTCTAAAACCTACACTCCTAATCGAGATTAATGAACCGCTGACATGGAATGGTTTGGAGGAAGCAGCTGACCCTAGGTCACAGTACTGAAGGGGTGAACGGAACAGGGGTAGAAGATGCCAGAGGCGTTGAGTTTAGTGGGAGAATGGAGGTACCACTGATCAGATGAATTCATAAGCATGAGGGGTTCTGGAGGATGAGACGAAGCTAAAGGGTTCATGGAAGGCTCTCAATCCCTAGCAACATAACACAGGGGGAGGAATTGAAGTGTGGTGGCTTTTCAGCTCCTCAGGGTTAGGCTCCCAACATCTCACTGCGTGAGTGCTGAGTGCATCTCCGGGATGCACCATCCACTGACTTATAACTTTGTATCAAGTTCAGCCTTCACCGAACTCCTTGCTTCCAATAGCAGTGAATGCAGATTTCTGATGTTGGGATTATTTTCTACTGGTTCGTTTATTTATTTTTGAACAATAAGCATCTTTCATACTTGAAGGAAAAAAAAAACCTTTGGAAAAGTTTTGATAATACGGCCACATATGCTCATTCCTCTGAAGAGTTTTCTGTGTTAGCAGTCACAGCAAAGCAGTCTGAGTACAGGAACAGCCACTTACTCTGGGGGAGTCCTTGGGCAAGGTACTTGTCTCCACACCAGTTTCCTATCTGTTAAATGATGGGACATTGTTCACCTCCTGAGACTCTTGTGAGAGAGCACACTGATGGCAGTGTCTGTGCCACTAATACCCTCTATCAAAATGCACCTGCCCAGATGTCCTCATCAAAATGAAGAGAGTAGGGCAGCTATGCTCTGTCCTATGGAACCCCCATGCCTCTGTTCCCATGCCTCGTAGGAACTCCCACGGTCACAGAGCTTGCCCCACACTAAGCAAGGACAACACTAAGGCTTTCGGGCTGGGGTGAACCAAGGTCCAGGCAGTCACAAACCCATGGCCTGTGATGTGATCTTCATTCCCTCAGCAAGGAGTGCCAGCTGCTAGATACTGAGGCCCTAGCGCAGTTTCTGTTGGCCAGTTCCTTAAGCATATGACCCAAGGTGATGAGGTGGAATCTTCATCATGTACCAGTTCCCAGGTCACTGGCTAGGTGAAGGCTGGCAATCCAAGGACTTCACCTTGTCCAGTTGGTAGCTCTGGCCACCATGATGTCAAGAAGTCAACCCCAAGTTCTCACTGCCTCTGTCTCCTTTCCTCGGTCTGCTTTCCTTCTACTTCCCTGCCCTTTTTGTTTATTGGCCTTAGTTAGCCCCTACACTGCAAGGATTAAGAGGGACCCCCAACATAAAAAGTAGTGAGCGCACACCCTCCCACCCCCACACAAAGATGACAGGACACACAGGAAACAATCCTTTTCTAAATCAATACAATTTTTCAAATTTATTTTTTTCTTAAAGAAGTACTTCTAATCTCTGTCAAAAGGGAGGTGAGGAAAGGTCCTCCCTCCCTTGTAAACACTGAAATACAGATCTGAGAAACCAGGGTCGACACACACAAAAAGTGCATTTTACAAAATATCAACTAAAATATATTTTACATGAATTATGCTTCCATTGAAATTCTACCAGCTGCATTTTCAGGTTCGAAAAAATATTTCGACATCTAAGAGATTTCAAAAGCATTTAAGTTCTGGGCAGCAGACCCTGCCTCCTGGGAGGAGGGGCCTTGATCTCCTTTCCTGCTAGGTGAGGCTGGGCTCCTCAGCAGCAAGGGCCAAGCACCCTGGGGATGAGCAGGCTCCAAGGCTGGCTCTCCAAAGGCCCCATGGCCACTCTGCCAACCTCTCTTACTGCCCCACGCCTTCCTCCTGACAGCTTATTCAGTACAAGGGCACCCTAGCCCCTTCCCTTCAGGTTTGGGATTGGGCTTTCTGTATGGAAATTCACCTCCGAAGCCTCCAGGGCCCCCCTAAGCCCAGGGACCAACTGGGAGCAGCCTATAGCACAAGGCTGGGAGCGCCCACAGGATTTGCTTCCACCTCCCTCTCTAGACCCAGCTTGACTGTCCTCACCCAGTGTCACCTCCTTACATGCCGGGTCTGTGCCTGCCCCTCCCTAGGGGAGAAGAGGGAGTGCTGCCCTCCTTGGCTCCTACCCCCAGGGGTGTGCCCTGTGTAAGTGCTCATAAGCAGGGCCCAAGCCACACTGTGCTCCCCTCCCCACCATGCTCCTCTTTGGTACAAACAGGAAAGAACCAGGCTGCTTCAGCCCCCTCACAGACAGCCCCAGGGCCAGGGCCTAGTCCTGACTAGGACAAGAGGGGGCTCAGCCTCTAATCTACTCTGGGGAGCAGCATGAGGTGAGAACGGGGCCCCTGGGCAACAGGAACAAACTGAAAATGCAGGTCCTTAGCTCCTAGAGTGAGTGGCTGCAGCTCAGCAGGTCTGTGGACTGATACAGTGTTGATTCTCGCAGGGATGTAAATTAGTGCAATCTACAAAAGACTAGGGTAAGGGGTGGCAGGGCAAGGGGAGCCACAGCACTCCTTTGGTTTGATTTCAGGTGGGTGTGGCTTGAAGAGTCATGTATGAAGTTCTGCAAGAGGTTTCCTAGAACCTCCAAGTGTAAGGCAAGAGGAAAAGTCTTCAATAAATCAGGTAGCAATTTTCCTTGCCCCCTGCCCCCCACCCCCTCCCAGCTCCCTTCTGCCCTCCCAGACATGATAAACCTCATGTTGACCAGTTAGCTTCTGGGAAGCCAGACCTGCTGGGTGGCCCTCACCAGGAGGCAGACAGGAAGCTGATTCCCACAAGTGGGCCACACCCATGACTATGTGCACTGGGTAACTTGTCCCAGCACCAGGGGCTACTGCAGGGGCAAAGGAGGAAGCCAGGGAAAGGCCCCAAGTCTAGAAAAAGCAAGTCCATGCTCTGGAAGCCAGACTCTGGCTCTCTATGCCTCAAAGGAAGGAACTCGGAGCTGTGCTAAAATCTGGGAGAGCCTGGTCCCAGGCTGATGGGGAAGCAGCGGGTCACAGTGGGTGAGGTAAAGCTGGCTCCCACTCCCTCTTGAAGGGCCCAGGGGAGGCTAAAGAGCCTAGTGGGCCTTGTTCCTGAAAGACTCTCCCCTCCCCCAGGGCCCCATGCCCCTCAGGCTTGGCCCAGTCTCAGGGAAGACTGCTTCTTCAAGTCTCCACCCAGGCAACCATAGAGAGGTACCCTGGGCCAAGCTGAGGGCTGTGATGCTTTCCCTATACCCTGGCCTCCCCTTCCCTCCCAAGGGCCCAGTACCCATAGGGATCCCTGCCCTCCCCCCCAAGAGAACCACAGGCCAGCAACTTCAGGTCCCTGTGGCCCCTTAACCAAGTGCTGTGCTTCAAGCAGTACCCCCTGCCCCGAGCCCCACTTGCCCGTGGGCAGCCTCAGTGTGAGCCTGAGGAGGCTACTGAGGGTTCTTGAGGATGCGGCCATGGCGGAAGTCATAGACATGGCGGCAAAGAAACACCAGCTCAGGGTCCGTGTCCTCGGGCACTGTGCGGTGTGGCGGGGTGGAGTAGTCCGCAGAGGGGGGCACCAGTGCTGTCTTTCGGCTGGGGAGGCCCTCGCCTCGACGCTTGGCCATGGCACAGAATCTGCAGTGACACACCACCATTTGCTGTCTTTACCACAGCCACCTTTGCAGGAAGATCAATTCCTTCCCCACCCTGCCCAGAGAGCTGGGGCATCCCTTCCCACCCCCACAAGGGCTGGTGCTGCCTCCATCCCTGTCCTGGGGGCTATGCCCTCTCTGCCAACCGCCAGTCCATCTTCTCTGTCACTGGGGAAGCACATCTGCTGGGGCCTCCCTCCCAACACCTGCCAATTCTCCTCGATGGTTCTCTGAGAGCAGTACTGTAACCATCCTCAACTCTGCCCCAACCACTCTGTCTTAGAGGAAGAACAATTTTTCTTTCTTCTACAAACATCAGATGGTGGAAGGCTGTGAAGAAGAACATTCTGGGAGGTCAGGCCCAGTGAATGAGATCCCCTTGGGAATTTCAGCCCCCGAAACAGCCCTGGGGAGTCTGAGGGGAGAGGCTAGACAGAGGTGCAGGGTACCACCCACCTGCAGTACTCAGCAAAGGTCAGCACGTAGCACTTCTCCTCGATGCAGGCCACACTGTTCTGGTCCTGATGTCTCGATGCAAAGACTTCATTCTGCAAAGGCTCAAGGAGAGAGAGGAGGTTGTTGGTACCAGGACTGGAAGCACCTACCTCCAGGAGCAAGGTGGACATTAACTCTTCTCCTGGGACTTGTGACCTAAGATAACTCCAGCTAGTGCCCGGGAAGCCAGGGAGCATCTCTGGAATTCTGGCCTAATTGCTCCGCACCTAGTGCCCACCCCAAGGCACTCTTCCCTCCCTAGGTCCCTCCTACTCAGGAATAGCCAGGGGCCTGTTCCAGCACCGCCCCCCAGCCCATGTCATCAGCCTCCTGACCCCCAGCTCAAGGGAGGAGAGGGGAACTGGTGCCCATCTCCCCATGAGATGAAAAGTCCCAGCAAGGGAAACAAAGAGAAAGGGAGCTCAGACTGCGGGCGGAGTGACCACACCGATGGCACTATCTCTCCTGGCACACAGCTGGGTAAAGTGCCCAAGAGTGTCTGGAGTCTCTCCTCCCTCTCATGCCACAGACGGTATCAAAGGGGGCCAGGTGTGCAGTTCCACCTCCCCTTTCCTGCTGCCAGGAGGACACATCTACTTGCTCCCATTCTGGCATGCCCTTGGGGGCTTCCCTTCCTGTTCCCCTTTGAAGACAAAAGTTACTGTTCCCTTTAAAACATGAATTGGATCAGTGTTGGGAAAAGAGGCTAAAACCCAGGCCCTTCCATGGCGTCCAAGGCGACGATCACTCGACTGCCCATGGCTGCCTCCCCAGCCATGTTCTTGGTGCCGCAGTTTCTCCCTCTGCCACCCCTGCCCTCCCCAACACACCGGCCAGGCGGCTCACCTCGTGCATGCTGGGACTGCGGCCTCCCTGTAAGTGCTCTGGTCTGTAATACCACAAGAGGCTCATCATCAGCTCTCCTAGGGGGACAAGAGAAGCAGTCATGGCTCGAGCTGGCAACCCCAGAGTTACTTAGACAGGCAGGAAGGCTGGCCACCTGCCCTGCAGTCTCATCCAACTTCAACGCCTGGGCCAATACTGCAGGCTCCAGCCACCCATATCCCCTGCCTCAGGCCAAGCCTGGCAGCTCAGTGGCCTGGAATGCTGTCAGGCATGGAGGAAGAAGGAGGAAAAGGCACTGACAGGTGAAGGGGGGGGGGG